CCAGGGATAGAATCGGCACTGCAGAGGCTGCGGGGGAGCTTTGTAGCCCAGCGCTCAAATGCTGCACCACCAGGGGAGGCCCTTAGAAGTTTTTTTGGCTATAGAACATTCCTGTTACTTATGGCAATTTTGTTATAAACTTATGGCAATTTTGTTAAAAACTTTGAAGTGCTAATTATTGGTATGTTCTAAGCCAGATAAATACTATTTTATATTGTGTATTCATATTAACAAATACTGAGTTCTGCAAATAAAACATTGTACTTGGTAAGAGGGAATAATCAAGGAAATTAAGGTGTGGTCCCTTCCTTCAGAACAATCTGTATAGTGTATAGTTAGTTCTCTGGTTACAAATAATACAAGGTGAAGAATTAGTCTACTGATGGGTGGGGGAGAGGAGTAAGATGACAGAAATAGATTATATTTAGGAATAACTAGCTTTCTGTCATAATAAGAAATTTTGGTATGTGACACCTCTAAATACTAGCCAGGTAGTATTTTTTTATTCAGATATAATTGATATATAAAATCATATTAGTTTTGAGTATACAACATGATTCAATATATGTATATATTACAAGATTATCACAAAAAGTTAACATCCATTACCACACAATTACAAACTTTTAAGATCTACTCTCTTAGCAACTTTCAAGTATATATCATTAACCATGATGCATATTACATCCTAGGACTGACTTACTGTGTAAGTGGTAGATTATACCTTTGATCATCTTAACCTATTTTGTTTGACCACCCCCAAATTATATGAAATTTGATACAAAGAAACAATTCTGATTCAACATTGCATCAAAATGAAAATATTATCCATTAAATCTACATGTTCTTTGTTTACAAAGAAATGTTACAGTTAAAAAATAAAATTCATTCTGCAACAAATTTTTTGCTCTTTTCATTTTGTATATCTAGGGAATCTACCGTATCTAGGGTATCTACCGTTATCTAGGATATTTGGTATCTAGGGTCAAACTGTTGCAACATAAAGATTGAGAATTGGGAGGCAATTCTCCATGGGTCTCTCATGTTTCTGACTGTCTTTTTAACAGAGGCACTGTCTTATTCTTGCCTACTTTTTAAAGATCGTTGTATAGTGCACAACCTTGAAAGGCAGAGATAGTGTCTCTCTTTAAGTAGAGAGGAGATTTTCTCAATGTCTAGAATCTAAGGGTAATACCTTCCTCCAGAAAAAGTCAGCAGCTTTGCTTAGCTCATCATAAAGATTGGAGTTTCCCAAGCTTGAGGTTCCTCAGTTGTAACACAAATCCATTGTGTACATATCTACCTGAACCACCACATGTCTTAGGGGTGGGGGTACATGAAACCAACACTAAAATGAAGCTCATGCTGCAGGCTGTACCGTTAGAGATAAAGTCCCTTGTTTTTCAGATCCAGGAATCTTTTGTCTTCTGATAGCAAACAAAGATGAAATTGTGGTAAGCTAACCTGCTAGTTTGCAAGCATGGTAAAAACTCAGAATCTTCATAGTTCTTGACAAAGATGGACACTTTCATTCCTGAGGTACTAATGGATTATAGGATTGAATAACAGAAATGTTGAGTTACACATTTAAACTAGATTTAATTATACCTAAGCATATTTTAAGCTCATAAGTACATAGGAAGTTCAAACTATACAAGATTTGGATGTTTCTTTTACTAGTAATATATGATAGCTATATAGTTTAATTGAAAATGTGTTCAAGCAAAAAAAAAATACCTTTATTTTTGTATATATTTTGTGGTTTCAGGTCTTACATCTAAGTCTTTAATCCTTTTGTGAATGGTGTGATAGTAGTCTATTTTCATTCTTTTGCATACGGCTGCCCAATTTTCCCAACAGCATTTGTTAGAGACTTTTTCTATATCCATTTCATGCTCTTGACTCCTTTGTCATAAATCAACTGTCCATATACGTGTGGGTTTATTTCTGGGCTCTCAGTTCTACCCCACTGATCTGGGTGTCTGTTTTTACTCTAAGACCATACTGATTTGACTACTAGGACTATGTACTATAATTTAAAATTGAGTGCGATACCTCCATTTTTTCATTCTTCTCAAGATTGCTTTGGCTATTCAGGGTGATTCCAAATACACTTTAGTATGTTGTTCCATTTCTTTGAAGAATACCTTTAGAGTCTTGATAGGGATTGCACTAACACTTCATAATGCTTTGGGTAAAATGGCCTTTTTTAACAATGTTAATTCTTCTAACCCATGAACACAAAATATTTCTCCATTATTTTGTAACTTCCATTTCATTTAACAATGTCATAGATTTAACCTCCTTTGCTAAATTTTTCCTAGGTATTTCTTTTTATGCAATTATAAATAGAACTGTACTCTTGATTTTTCTTCTCGTTTCTTTTCATGAAGTAACATGAACAGATATTTGCATACTGATTTTTTTAGCCTGCTTAGTAATTGTTTCTAACAGCTTTTCAGTTGAGTCTTTAGGGTTTCGATGTACATTATTATCATTTCATCTGCAAATAATGATCGTTTTACTTCTTCTTTCCCAATTTGGATTTCTCTTATTTCTTAGTTTTGCCTAATTGCTCTCGCTAGGACTTTCAATACAATGTTGAAAGATGACATTCTTACCTTGTATCTGATCTTAAAGGAAAAGCTTTCAGTTTTTCATCATTGAGTATGATGTTAGCTAGGGGTTTGTCACAGACAGCCTTTATTTTGTTGAGGTATATTCCTTGTATCCCCATTTTATTGATTTTTTTTTTACATTTTGAAAGGACAGATTTATTACTAAAGGAGAAAGAAAAAAGAGACAACTGAATGGATGCAAGTGGGCAGAGAGCTGCTGCTGCTGCTTTGCAAAGGGAAAAAGGTCATGAAAAGAAACAACTGCATAGTCACAGGCAGGGAAGAAATTGTTTAATGAGAGTTTTATCACAAATGGGTATTGAATCTTACCAAACGCTTTCTATGCATTTATTGGCATAATCATATAATTTTTATCCATCCTTTCATTGATCTGGTATATCACATTAATTGATTTGCATATGTTGAACCATCCTTGCACCCCTGGAATGTATCTCAATTGGTCATAATGTATAATTTTGGCTATGTATTGTTTAATTATTTTGCATGTGGCTGTCTGTAGGTTCAATTTGCTAAGATTTTCTGAGGTTTATATATACATTTGTTCATCCAAGATTTTGATCTATAGTTTCCTTTTTTTGTGATTTGTCTGCTATTGGAATCAGAGTAGCACTGCCTCATAAAATTCTTGGAAGTATTCCTTCTTAATGAAATTTTTTGGACTACCTTAGAAGGATAGGTATTAGGCCTTCTTTAAAGGTTTGGTGAACTCACTAGTGAAGCCATCTGATCCTGTGCTTTTGGTTTTTGGGTGGCTTTGGTTATAGTTTAGATTTCCTTGCTTGTGATCTGTTCAGGTTTTTCTATTCCTTTCTGATTCAATCTTGGAAGCCTGTATAATCCTAGGATTTATCCTAACTCTTTTTTGGAGGGAAACTTAAAATCATAACACTTCTCACTAAAAAAGTGAATGTGCTTACCCAGTCACTAATTATTTTTAATGCTTTAAATGAATGTCTCCTCTCCCTTCTCCTTTTCTCACCACCCCTCATGAATACATCTGTTCCATTCTCATTGTTTCTATCTCTAAGGATAAACTCTCTACTCAACTACTGAAAGAGTCTCTTAAACTATCTGGTCCCCTTGACTCTAGTTTCAACCACCCATCCCCAAAACATTTATTCTACCACCCCAATGATCTTACTAAAATGGAAACATGTTGGAACCTCCCTATCACATCAACCACCACCCCTGTCTCCATTTCAACAACAAACAAGCCTTAAAACTCTTTCATGCTCTATAGAAGATACTGATATAAAACACCAAGTTTCATCTTTTTGTCACCCTCTCATATGCACTCTATCCCCCAGCTACACTGTGACTCACATCTCTTTGCTTTTACATATGCTCATCCTTCTATGTAAATTGCTCTTCTTTTCCTGTACATCTAACATAACTTTACTATCCTTTAAACTCCCTGGAAATGCATACCTTTTTTGTGCCTCTTCATATCATGTTCCTCTAATATTGTACTAATCACATCCAACCATGATACAATTGGGTTTTCCTTTTTACCATACCTTAAAGGTCTACTTTAAGGACACACATCTTTTGTACTCCTAGCACCTGCATATTGCCTGTTCTATAGCAGATATTATTGCATAAGGGTTGGGTTTGTGTTTTTTTTTCCTTTTGTAGTTTTTTTTTAAAATATTTTTTTATTTATTTGTTTATTTATTTATATTTATACAAGCACTGGGTACAGTCAGAAGCGCAGGAGGGCGAGAGAATTCACCAGAGCCAGAGCAGGGAGCAGAGCAGGCAGAAGGACCGAAGTACACTGCTGAGGGGAGCAGCGGGCGGCAGGAGAGGTCTGCGCGCCATGCGGGACCCTCCTCCAGTGGCTGGGGAGCAGCAGGGGATGGAACTAGTGCTGCAGAGGCTGCAGGCAGCTTCACAACCCAGCGCTCAACTGCTGCGCCACCGGGGAGGCCCTCCTTTTGTAGTTTTTTAAGAGTAAAACATATCCTAAAACTTTGGCATAAAGGGGAAGATTTTTAAAATGTGCTACTAAAGACTAAAATTAAGCTTAAAAATAATTTAGGGAAAAGGAAAAAATCACTGCTAGTTAAAGAATTATCAGAATAGTTTTTAAAATTTTAGGTGCATTATTCATTACATACCTATTAGGATGGCTAAAAAAATTTCTTCTAAAAGCTGAAAATACCTAGTGCTGAAAAACATATAAGATAACGAACTTTCCTACATGGCTGTTAGGAAAGCACAAAGGCATATGACTCTGGAAAATAGTCTGGTGACTTTTGATGAAGTTAAAGAAATAGTTACATTATGACAGTCATTCCATTTTTTTTTAACTCTAGATAAATTAAAACTTGTCACAAAAATATCTACATAAATGTTTATAACAGCTTTATTCACAATCAGCAAAAAACAGAAATTTAAATGACCTTCAATTTGTGAGGCAGATAAACCACTGTACATATACACATATATAAACAATGGAATATAGTCAGAAACAAAAAGGCGCACTAACATGGATTAACCTAAAATGTATTATCATGAGTAAAAAGAGTCAGCCTCAAAAAGTTAAATGCCTTATGATAGCATATGTTGAACCTCCTGGAAAAAAAACAATAGGAAAGGAATGCTTAACCATTCTCAGTGATTGCTGAATTAAGGTTAGGGATCAAGAAAGGATTGAACTACAGAGAGACAATACTAAGAGAATCTTTAGGGGGTGATGAAATTGTTCAGTATCCTGTGATAGTTGTTACATAAATCACCAAATATGCTAAAATATAAAACTATATACCAAAGAAAGTTATTTTTTCTGTAGATAAACTCTAAACTAATGTAGCCATGAGGATAAACTGCTTTTTACTTCTATCCCCACATACCTTACCCCTAGACTTTAAAAAGATTACTTTATTCAAGAATTTACCTTGCAAGGAAAAAGGTGGAACAAACTGAAAAAATGGCTTTGAGGTGGAAATTAAAGATGTTTATGAAAACATTATGGAATTTTATCTTAAAAGGGTGGATTATGAGATAATGATCTATAATTTTAGAGAAGGGCAAAGGCGAAGAGGTACTGACATATAGAGCAAATAGACCTTAAAGTTAAAGAATGGTTTTTCTCCCCCTTCTATTCACCTCTATTCTATAATACCATTACATAATAATTACATCTTCATTTGATTTTCTTTTGGGTATGTTTCTGCAAGACACAAAATGATTTAAGAAAAAAGTAATTTAATTTTAAGATAACATAAACCTATTTTTATTTCAGTGTCCTAAATCTGAAGTGAAAGGGATTAATCAGTGAGCTTCAGGTTTTACATCAAAAGTGCTAAATGATGAAAAATTTAAAAGTCTGGTAAAATTTAACATTGGGTTAAATCTAAAAGGAAGTTAATACATTTGAGATGATATTCAGTGTATTTGATGCTTTGCATCTGTCACCGCTTGCCTGTTTTTCTTCCACTGCTTGATTCCCTTCTGTCTTTTGCTGTTTTGTCCCTTTTCTTCCCTGACCTCCCAATCTACAATGTTCCTTTCCTCCTCAGAGCCTTTTAGAAATTTACCACAAGCCTAAATTATCTAACTGCTTTTAAAAATGACCACATAAAATATGATTCAGTTGCTGTGAATTAAAATGTGTTTAGTGGTCAAATTTAAATACTGTGGTATCTCTAAAACATGAAATAGGGATTATAAGTAGTCTAACAGGACACTTACTATACATCAAATGTAAATATTAACACTAATTCACACAGAATTTACCAAAATGTTATGTATATAATTCAAAATATATTTCAATATATATGAGTACTAATGTGTACTTAGAATGCTGAGAATTAAAGTAAAAAAAAAGAATAACATTAAATTTGGTAAAATAAAATATGCACATGCTAATCAAAAGTAGAGGCCCATGCAATCAGTAAAAAATAAATTTGGCCAAATACTACAGCTTAGAGAATGTACGCCTTGACTAGGAGTTATTTAGTTGTCTAAGAAAAGACTAATTTCCTTATCTTTTCCCAGTGGGCTGAGATTATGTGTATAAATCATCTGCTGAGATGGAACTGTAGAAATAGGGTTAAGTTTGAGAAGACTTACACTTCAGAACTAGTGGTATTCCATTTTATTTTGTCCATTTAGAAAACAAGAATGATCTATGCATAAATTTGAAATGGTATGTAAACTATGTGCCCATTAAAATGTAATTCTATAAAAATTCCTTGAGAATATTACTTTTCTGTCTTTGTTAATTGCCTAAAGAAGATGGCCAAAAATGAATACTTGGAATAGAGAAGGTATTCCTCAGTAAAAAATGGAATACCCAAGTATTTGGAAAATTGAAAGCGTAGATAATGGTGACTCCCTTTTCCAGAAGCGCACTCTGTATCATAAAATATTTTCACTTATTAGAACCATACTGAATGTCAAAAAAAAAAAAAAAAGCCCTTATAATTCCCAACATTGTTTTAAAGAACTTCAGAGGCCTTTGGATAACTTCAGAGGCATTGGAATTTGGTGATATTAATTTCAGAAATTATCAAGGATATTATTGCCTTAGAATACAATATAGTAGAAAAACTTACAAAAGTTTCCAGCCTTGAGAAAAAGTTGTTAAAGCTTAAGAATATACATTTTAAACTATAACTCGTAAGTATAACACTTAATAACATAAATTTTCATAAATGAGAAAAAAGTGTCATGTTGACTTTTTCTAACATAACCATGAGTTAAACAGTGTTCACTATTTAATAGGCAAAAAATAATTGCCATAATATTTTTCTTATATAAAATATGTAAATGACAATTCTCTATATAACTGGTTAATATAATTTTCAATTACAAAAATTAGCAAATATTTTCTTTTACTTTCAAGAAAAATAAATTCTAAGTTCCTCATATTAAGATATATTATTTCATTAGTAAGAGATATGAATTATTATTCTTCAGTGCTTCCTGAAACTTGTTCAACCCTGAGAAAATCTGCTTCATACTTCTTCTTGAGATTATTTAAATATGTTCGTAAACTATCTGGATCCAATTGAGAGTTTCGAGCAATTTGAACAAGTTTAGTAGCTAGATGGTACTCAGCTCTCTGTCTTTCCATCTCAGGGGTACTCTTTTGGTTTTGCTGTCATTGAAAAAATATAGATAAAAATTAAGATATGAATACTTTGAATTTTATTCTAAAATTCTGACAATATTCTATCTCCTTTCATAGAAATATTGCTCATTGCTATGCAATAGTCATAATTTTAAAGGTCACCTAGGAGTATTACTCTGCTGTCTACTACTTTAAATCCCTAACAGATAAACTGGTGGACAGAATGAGTATAAATAAACTTCTTGTCCCTCAGGATAGTTTATTTGCTGGAGACCAAATGAAAATACTGCCTAAGGGGTAAATTACTTAAAATAAGCAACATAAATAACTTGAAGTGTGCCTTAATTATTAACAATTAACAAAGGCCTTTTGGAAGGCCTTTAGATATTCAGTCCTTCAATAGTGCTTCAGGAAGTACAGCTAGAAAATTCTTCATTATCCTCTTTGCCTGAGCTAGAGCGGAATCAGCATTTTCAATCTTAGCTGTTTATGGAAAGTCTTAGTAAGTTTTTCTTTACTAAGGGAAATAAAATTCCTTCAACTCTCTCACTAACAAGAAAATCTAGGTATTTTTCCACTTTCTCTATAGATAAAATGAGTAAGATTCTATGAGGTAGAACATCTATTTTTATACTGATTAATCTATTTTTACATTGATTAATCAGCTATCAGTTTATTATTTCAATAACAATAAACATTAAATATTTATGTCTTCTATATTGCAGATTACAACTTGTGCTTATTTTTATAGGGGTACAAAATATGTCTATCTATCATGATAATGTAACTCAAGAAGTTCAGTCTTCTAGTGAAAAAAACATGTTTATAAGCGACTTGTTAATATAATTATAAAAAGTCCTATAAAAGAGATATAAAGTGCTCAGAGTAAAGAGGTAAAGAGAGTTCACTTTCAGATCAGGTCTTTAAAAAGATAGAGCATTTAGAATGGATCTTAACGAATAGAAAAAGTTTATATGAGAAGGCATTCTGGAACCAAGAAACATCTAGAGACAAGAGGTATGGTATACAATTGGGTCCAAATGATGAAATAAGTGAAAGGTAACTCAATGTGGCAAATATACAGGCTATAGTGAAAATGAGTACTGTCATCTAAGATTGGAGTAATAAAGAAAGAAATCATAAAACATTCATTAACAAACTTTTATATGTTTAAAAATCATCTGTAACAAGGATACCCATTATCCCCACTTTCATTTAATATATTATTAGAAGTCCTGTAGCACAATTTGGCAAGAAAAGAAAAGGCATCCAAATTGGAAAGGAAAAAGTAAAACTGTCACTATTTGTCACATAAAATCATGTGACATAATCTTCTAGATCAAAAACCCTAAAGATTGTTAGAAGTAATAAACTCTGTAAAATTGCAGGGTACAAAATCAAAACATAAAAATCAACTGCATTTCCATGTACTAATAACAAACCATTAGAAAGATAAAATAAGAAAACAATACCATATACAATGGAAGCAAAAAGAATAAAATGCATAGGAATAAATTTAACTAAGAATGTGAATGACCCATATACTGAAAACTATATGACATTGTTGAAAGAAATTGAAAGAAGACACAAATAGAAAGATTTTTTCATGCTCATGAATTGGAAGAACAGTGTTAAAAAATGTCCATATTTACACAAAGCAATATATATTCAATGCAATACCTATCAAAATTCTAATGGCATTTTTTACAGAAATGGAAATAATCCTAAAATGGAATAATACTAAAATTTATATGGAACCACTGAAAACTCCAAAGAGCCAAAGTAACCTTGAGGGGGAACAAATTTAGAGGTATTATGTTCTCTGGTTCCAAAATATACTACAAAGTTACAGAAATCAAAACAATGTGGTGTTGGCATAAAAACAGACACAAAGATCAATGGAACAGAAGAGAGTCTAGAAATAAACCCACACATATGTGGTTAATTAATTTATACCAAAGGAGTCAAGCATACACCAGGAGAAAAAAAGTCTCTTCATTCAATGGTATTGAGAAAACTGGACAGCCACATGTAAAAAAATGAAATTAAATCATACCCAAAAATTAATTCAAAATGGTTAAAGACTAATGTAAAACCTGAAATCATAAAACTTCTGAAAGAAAATAGGCATAAGCTATTTGTCATCAGTCTGACTCCAAAGAAAAGGCAACAAAAGCAAAATTAAACAAGGTACACTACATCAAACTAAAATGCTTCTTCTGCACAGCAACAGAAACCATCAAAAAAATAAAAAGGAATCCTGTAGACTGGGAGAAGACATTTGCAGTCATATATCCAATAAGTGGTTAATATCCAAAATGCATAAAGAGCTCATAAAACTCAGTAACATAAAAAATCCAATTAGCACACTCCAACCAACAGAAAGAAAAACAACAACAATGAGAACAAACTACAGATCAAGTGGGACTCTTGAGCGGAAAGGAACCGTTGCAGGCACTGCACCCACAAACGAAAACTGTGGAGAACCGTGCAGGAATGACCATGGAGGTGAGCGAACAGCTCCCAGCGCCATTAGAGGAAGATAAGGACTCCAAGGACTCTGCGGAGAGACCTACAAATAGCCCAAGGCAAGCCGGTAAGCTTGTGCAGAAAAGCACGCACCCCCTAGAAAAGCATACAGGAATCATAGCTGCCAGGTCCCCGAGCCCCAACCTAGGTTTGTGGGGAGACACGTGGGAACCATCACTGAGGTGAATGACCCTCACTGAGTAATCAAAAACCAAGCGCTCAGGCACGGGAACGGGGTGCAAATAAGAAATAGAACAGCTAAACAGACCAATTACAAGCAGCAAAACTAAGGCAGTAATCAAAGCACTCCCCAAAAACAAAAGCCCAGGCCCAGACGGCTTCACAAATGAATTCTACCAAACGTTCAGCAGTGAACTAGTGCCTATCCTACACAAACTCTTTCAAAAAATTGAACATTTTTGCACCCAACACTAATGATAAAGGACTGATCACAAAAATCTGCAAAGAGCTGATGAAACTCAACAACAACAAAGAAAATAACCCAGTCAAAAAATGGGCAGAAGAGCTAAAAAGAAACTTCTCTGAAGAGGAAATGCAAATGGCCAACAGACATATGAAAAAATGTTCAACATCACTTGTCATCAGGGAAATGCAAATCAAAACTACCATGAGATGGTCCCCCATTTTGGCTCCCCGCCAGCTCGCAGCGTCAGGCCAGCTCGGAGAGTGCCTTTGAGTTTCCAGGTCGGCGGATCGGAGAGGGAGGAGACAAAGGAACAGAAAAAACATTGGTGGTACCCTCTGGGGAGGGGATGGTGGTTGTCCGATGTACAACCGCTGACTCTTCCCATCATGGGTTGCTCTGTGCGTGCACTGGACAAGCCACGCCTGGGTGCACCATTCCTTGACCAGGGTGACATAACCTCAAGCCAAGTGTTGCAACCTCTCCGCTCTGTGTAGCTCTGCTCTGCAGGCATCCTCTTGAGTGGGTGCACTGGAGGCCACACAGCTCTCTTCACTGTTGCTCCCAGTCAGCTCCAGAAAACTCAGCCAGTCCTTCCCAGGAGTTCACTTGAAGACTCCTTATTAGACTAAAGTGGGAGGAAGGAGCGCTCTTTCCTTCAAGAAGTTCCAGTCTGTTTCACTCTAGTCTCATGTTCCTACAGTGGCAGGTGATAGAATACAGGGCAAGAGCCAATTGGCCACCATCTTTCTGCAGGTCTTGTACTTCACTCCAGATTGGGGTGCTGTTGGGTGCATTTTTCTTCCTTCTGGAGCTTTGACCAAAATCTCTTGAGATAAGAAAGGAACTTTGAGGAGGGGGCGGAGCAACATGGCGGCGAGGAGACGCTGCGAGTAAGATCTCCCATTAAAAAAAGTGATAGGGAGGAAAAGCGGCAGGTCCCAGTGAGAACTGGGCACGGAAGATAAACGGGTGACGCCAGCGAACTGCCCGAAGAAGAAACTGGCCATAAAAGAGGACTAGAAGGGAGGGAAGAGCAGAACCCTGCTCCCCTCCCCCGCCCACAGAGGCAGCACTCTCCGACCCCGCAGAGAGGAGGAAAACAAACCAAAACGCCCACAAGAACAAAGGAGGCAGCAGCAGGGACTGGGCGGAAAGGTACTATTGCAGCCACCACACCCCTTGAACGGGAGCTGAGGCGAACCCTGCAGGATCCGCTGCGGCGGTGAGCGAACGGCTCCGGGCGCCATTAGAGAAGAACAAAGACCCCGGGAGACGCGCACACAGCCCGGGCTGCCGGTAAGCTGGCGCGGAAACGCGGAGTGCTCGGCGCGCTTGAAAAGCAAGTGCAGACCTGGATCGCGGCTGCCCAGGTCCCCGCGCCTGCGACCTAGGCTTGCGGGGAGACTACCTAGGCTTGCGGGGAGACGCGCGGAGGTCCTCACTGAGGTGAAGGTCCCTCCTGAGTAGCAGGAACCAGGCGCCCAGGCCCGGGAGCGGTGCAAAAGGCGCCATTCCCGCGCCACTGAACTGGGCTACAGCCCGCGTCCTGGAACTGAGGGCTTTGAACTGAGACCCGGGGCACGAAAATTCGGGGCGTGGTTTCTCCACGACGGTGGGGCACAAGGCAGACACAGCACCCCAAAGCTGTTGAGGTGTACCTACCATTCCCGCTCTGTTCTCTGTCCCACGGGGTGGGGGAGGCGAAAAACAGCCCCCCAAGGCCAATAGGAGAGATCTCTGGCGCCACCTAGCGACCAGGAAAAAAAAGTCACTAACACCCTATAAAACAGGACATTTCTTAAGACTGCTTGAAAAGGGCAGAAGGTTTTCTGGAGGACCCAGTGGCCAGCCGGGAAGTTATTCCACGCCAGGCCCCTTCCGACCAGCAGTCTGAGCCCACAGAGGGAGCAGGCACCCACGTCCGGGGCAGACCGGGTGCGCAGAAGAGTGTGCCTGAAACCGGAGGCGCAGGGACTGCATCCCGCTTCGCCATTTGAGAACAGGGACATTTCTTCAGTAAAAACTGCCTAAAACCAGCAGAAAGCTCCCCCAGAAGACAGAGATGGCTCCT